AGCAATGAGTTAATAGGCTTTAAGGATAGAAAATAATTATAGAAAAGGCTTAAGACACATGTTCTTTGTAAGAATAAATAACCATTGTAGAATAGCCTTGAAAAATGGGTCTTTTAAGAATTTAAGGAGTTGGAATATACAAAGTGGTCAAGAAGATAGATAACAGCTAAAAATTAAGGGAACAAAGTAGGAGTTATGCTTTAGGGCAAAACGTGATGCTTTGTAGACCGCAAGACAGTGATATCTTTAAAAAAGATATCTGTACATGAGGGAATTCACGTCAGAGTAGCTTTATGAAAAACATCACATATGAGTTACTTGCTCTGTTCTTTGTCTTAAGCAAGGTTACTAATTGTGTCTGATGCCAAGAATTTTCAAAGACTACTTCTTTGTAAAAAAAAGTATATAATCTAGATGTGAACTAATAATAAATGGCATCTGTCCTGCTCACAACAGAGTCAGGTGTCCAAGTGTTTCTCTCTTTCACTGACTTCGTCTCTTCTTCAGGAAATCCTGACTCCAGCAATTACATAATAAGGAAAGATTACAATGGAAGCTCTGCATCTGACGATTCACATGTGCAAGTTCATTTCAGATGAAAGTGATGGTGCAACCACTCAGGAAATCCAATCTTTTTAAATGATACCTTTTCACAAGATAATTTTTTAATAATTCAGGACAATAATGCAAGCATTACAGCCAGGCATGATGGAAGGCCAAGGTGGGAGGAATGCTCGAGCTCAGGAGTTTGAGACTAGTCTAGGCAACAGTAAGGCTTCATCTCTGCAAGAAAAATCAAAAAATTGGTATATGCCTGTGGTCCAGGCTACTCAGGAGGCTAAGTTGGAAGGATTGCCCGAGCCCAGGAGGTCGAGGCTGCAGTGAGCGGTGCTTGTGCCACTACACTCAAGGCTGGGTGAAACAGTGAGACCCTGACTCAAAAATAAATAAATAGGCCGGGCTCGGTGGCTCAGCCTGTGATCTCAGTACTTTGGGATGCTGCAATAAGTTGATTGCCTGAGCCCATGGGTTCCAGATCAGTCCTGGCAACTTGGTGAGACCTCGTCTCTATAATAAATCCAAAAATAATTAGCCAGGTGTGGTAGCACATGCCTATAGTTTCAGCTACTTGAAAGGCCGAGGTGGAAGCTGGGGTGGCTGTGAGTGTCCCACTGCATTCCAGCCTGGGCAACAGAGTGAGACTCCAACTCAATAAATAAATAAATAATGCAAGCATTTGATTTTGAGAATCCTCCAGGAAATGCCTGTTACATAAAATGAGGTATACAGTTGTCCCTTGGTATCCTCAGAATTGGTTCCAGTAAACTGCCCCACACCAAAATCTGAGGATATTCAAGCCCCTAGCATAAAATAGCATAATATTTGCATATAAACTATGCGATACTCTGTTATACTGTACTTTAAAGCATCTCTAGATTATTTGCAATGCTTAATACAATGTAAATGCCATATAATTACACTACATATTTTATTTGTTTCTTTCCTTTTTTTTTGAGTCAGTCTCACTTGGTCACCCAGGCTGGAGTGCAGTGGCATCTCACAGCCACTGAAGCCTCGATCTGCTGGGCTCAGGTGATCCTTCTGCCTGAGCCTTCCAAGTAGCTGGGACCACAAGGCGTGCGCCACCATTTTTTGATTTATCATAGAAAAGAGGCTTTTTTGATTTATCATAGAGACGAGGACTTGCCAAGTTGCCTGGGCTGGTCTTGAACCCCTGGGCTCAGGCTATCCTCTCGCCTCTGCCTCCCAAAGTGCTGGGATCACAGGTATAAACCACCACACCCGGCATATTTGTATTCTTTTTATTCTTGTGTTATCTTATACTGTTATAAATGTTGTTATATTGTTTATATTGTGGCCAATTGTACCTTTTTTTTTTCTCTTTTTTTGAGTTGGAGACTCACTCTGTCGCCCAGACTGGGGTGCAGTGGCCGCTCCCGGCCATTGCAGCCTCGACCTGCTGGGCTCCAGCGATCCTTCCGCCTCAGCCTTCCAAGTAGCTGGAACTACAGGCGCACTCTACCACGCCCGGCTAATTTTTGATTTATTGTAGAGATGAGGTCTCACCAAGTTGCCCAGGCAGGTCTTGAACCCGTGGGCTCAGACAATCCACTCACCTCAGCCTCCCAAGGCGCGGGATTACAGGATGAGCCATCGAGCCAGGTTCCAATTGTACCTTTAAAGTGCTTTCACACATTTAACCAGCAGGCATGTTTGGCAACTGTGAACAAAATAAACAAAAGTCCTCCTCTTTGACTGGGCGTGGTGACTCACTCCTGTAATCTCAGCATTTTGGGAGGTGGAAGCAGGAGGAGTGCCTAATCCTAGGGGTTCAAGACCAGCCTGGGCAACTTGGTGAGACCTCATCTCTACAATAAACCAAAAAATTAGCCAGACATGGTGGTACACGCCTGTGGGTCCAGCTACTTGGAAAGCTGAGGCAGAAGGATCACCTAAACCCTGCAGGTCGAGGCTGCAGTGACTGTGAGCATGCCACTGTACTCCAGCCTGGGTGACAGAGTGAGACTCTGACTCAAAAAAAAAAAAATACAGGCCGGGCTCGGTGGCTCAGCCTGTAATCCTGCGCCTTGGGAGGCTGACGTGAGTGGATAGCCTGAGCCCACGGGTTCAAGACCCGCTTGGGCAACTTGGTGAGACCTCATCTCTACAATAAATCAAAAAAAATTAGCC